AGTACAGTCTCGTCTCCATCCCGGCAATTAGTGCCACTTGGCGTATGCGTAATAAACGCACCTGGGCTGAGACCACACGCAGGTGGGTAGGGAGAGAGACAGTCAGACAGACAGACAGACTGGCATTCTTAATCAACTTTCAGGCTGGGCGAGAACAAAAACCGTTTGCCTGCCAAAGTCAATAAAAATGTCAACACGGCAAATGTCATGTTGACAAGGCAGACGGAACAGAACAAAACGTGCTGGTACTCCTCGTACTGTTGCTGGTTGATGGTTGCTTGTTGCTGGTGGCTATGGCTGGTGGCTGTTGGCTGGTTTGCTGCAAAAATGCCAGTGGTTGTGGCTCTCTATTTCTAGGGGAATAAGGACATTCTCCCCCGTAAAAACTTTACGAGCTTGTCGCCGCTCCTTTCTCCCGGGCCAGCAAGTTTTATGGACAATTCAAAAATCGTTTATGACAATCGCACCGAACACGAAGCTGGCGAAGCTTTTTAATAAACTTTTGTTGCTCTTCTTCCTGCCCTGTCAGGGATAGTAAAACAATAAAAGGATATGCAGTGCGGCGTGCCAGTCCTGCCACATAATTGTTGTCCAGCTGAGAGACGTCGTAAAACTAAAAGCAAACAAGTCTCTATGGTGTGACACCTGTCGTCCCTGAACCCAGGATCCACAAGAAGCCATATAAGCAGTCCTTGCACAGAAAAAAACTGGGGCCTAATACAAAACAGAAGCTAAGGTCAAGGTATATTTTTACAAAACTGAAAAACTAAAAACCATATAGAAACATTATAATAAATATATTATTATAAAAGCTGTTTGTTATCAATTAATTTCCTAGTAATTCAGTAATGAATATAGGTATAAAGATATATATACAATTTTAATGCAGAAGTATTAGCTATATATATTGATATTTTTACGTTTTGCCATAATTCGATGTTTTATAAAGAAGCTATACAAGTGTTTATTTTAAACATAATTGGTGAAAGAAATCGAAAATAAGGACAAAAATAATGTTTTCGATTATTTTTCGATAAAATATATATTTTATATTTTCGATAAAAATGATATTTTAACAAGAAAGGAAGCTAACTTCGGCACGCCGAAGTTTTTATACCCTTGCAGATTGTTTTTGATGTTTGTATTATAGACTTAAATGCTGAAAACACACACAAAACAGAGTTTTATTACATTTTACCTAGACTTATTATGTTTACAGTTTGACGGTTACAGTTTTACACTCCCAGCCTTACATTTTCTCTACATCTACCGATCGCTTCTATGGCAGCTATATGATATAGTTGTCCGATTTTTATGAAATTTATACCATAATTCTAGAATAATAAAAAAAAGCTTATATCTCAGAGTAGATAAACATACGTTGGAAAACAACGAAGTTATAATTTTTTTCCTATTTATTTCTCGATCGTTCCTATGGCAGCTATATCATATATTCGTCCGATTTTCATAAAATTTTTACCAAAATTCTATAATAATATAGAATGGCTATATCTAAAAAATTGTGCAAAAGTATTGAAAAACAGCAAAGTTATAATTTTTTTTCTAAAAATTTATCAAACATTTGTATGGCAGCTATATGATATAGTCGTCCGATCCGGCCCGTTCCGACATATATAGCAGTGAGAGTATATAGAAGACTATATGCAAAGTTTCATTCAGATAGCTTTAAAACTGAGGGACTAGTTTGCGTAGAAACAGACAGACGGACAGACGGACAGACAGACAGACGGACAGACGGACAGACAGACAGACAGACAGACGGACAGACGGACAGACGGACATGGCTAGATCGACTCGGCTGTTGATGCTGATCAAGAATATATATACTTTATAGGGTCGGAAACGTCTCCTTCACTGCGTTGCAAACTTCTGACTGAAATTATAATACCCTGCAAGGGTATAAAAATAAATGTGATAATTTGGAATACATCAAAGTTTGATACATAAAACTCTACAATTTTCTCGGTAGAATATTGAGTGTTTCATTTCGTAAAAGCAAGTCCGATCTCCTTGTACCATTTTATATAACCAAACATTTTTTCTCTGTATAAGAATAATCTGGAAGATGAAGTTTTTTTTCCTCCAGACTACCTGTTGTAACTTTCGCTGCGAATACATATGTATTAGCAGGCTTATATACACACTCGTCCACGATGATTTTTCGGCTGCTCTTCCGACATTAACCCAAATCACACAAATGACTTGAGAAAACCGCACACAAAGTGCCAAAGTGATTTGGGGCTAACCTTTTGGCCATTGTGTTGGCTCTTCTGCGTCTCCGTCTCCGTGTCAGACGCCGAGAGATTCGCTGGCTAAACTGTCTTTAGCCCAGCATTGAGCCGTCGCTCATCGCTCAAGAGCTCTGGCAATTTGTCAACGCGACCGCCGCATAATGATCATTCATTTGGATGCCAGATAAGAGCAGACGGGCTAAATATAGGCACTTGCCGCAGATCTCAACGAAGGGGAGGCCGAGGAGGAGCAGGAGCAGTTGCAGCTGGTCTCCCCTCTGCTGGTTTCCCCCGTTGGCCCAATGCTGGCTGTGAACTAGTTTTCCCGAGGGCCCTAGACTGGGCAAACCAGTTCTCTGGGTCAACGACTGCCAAAGTAATTGAGGAGACCGGAGCCCGGTGCCCGGTGCCTTCGATCAATGCAAATAACTTCAACAGCTGCCAACTTGGCTCAAATTGGCGGGCTTTTCCCGGTTGATCCTGCTCCTGTTCCTGCCAACAATGTTGCGCAACATGTGCAGCAACACGCAGGCCGCTGCACTTTCCATTTTGTTCTCCCGCCTTAATGACTTCATAGGCCTGTGCCAAATTGAAACTTGCCACAATTGCTTTGCCAATTTTACGCAATTCGCTGCAGTCAACAATAAATTTGTGCTGGTGCCGGTAGAAAAAGGAGGGCCAAAAAGAAATGCAGGTCGCCCGCCGGTGTGGAAAAGCCGCACAATAAATTTGCCAAGCAGACCCACAGGCTCCCAAGCCGCTTTTTACACTGAAAAATAAATAGAGACAAGTCTAAAGTGTAAGATATACAATAATATAAAAATATCTAGATTTTATTTTCATTTAATTTAATAATTGTGGGGTTTTATCTATGTATCATATTTTATCCTCACTTTAGGCCGAATATTTAAGATATAAAAAAAGTACAGGTTATCTATTTCGAACACCTTTCTTGAGACACTTAGGCATCTGAACTTGGATTTATTTCTAGTAAATTTTGTTGCAAAATTGCTAACCATTTCCAAATTATTATACCCACAAATACTGTTGTGTTGACTGCATTTTTTTCTTTAAGCCGTGTTTATGCACAGTTTCGTCTGGCTTTCCGTTTGTGGAACCCAAAGTTGGGAACTGGTAATTTGAGTTTGAATGCGCCTGATTTGATGGCGGGCCACACTCTGCCATCGGGGTCTCCAGCTGGGACACGCTGCACGTGCATGCCCGGGGACTCGGCTTTGGATTTGAATTTGTATTTGGATTTGGATTTTGACTCGCATTTCAACCCAGTCCCCCCGGAAAACTGTAGTGCCAGTCCATTACAAATCCCAACTGTTGTCCCGCCACGCATTCTTGCATTTCGCAGCTCAAAAATTCAAATGTCAGGCGATTTTTTCGGGCTTTACTTTCCATTGAAATCGCAATCTGCGCAATTAATTTGCCGGCAAACCGCAGAAACCGCTTGGCACATAGCACTCGCCCCGCTATTGACACATCAGCGGGTCCCAGTCCCAATCCCTCCCAGCTCCTCCTGGCTGGTGAACTAGAAATGGAATTGGAAAATGTTAAATCGGGATGTGGCTGGCGAAAAGAAAGAATTCACTGGTTAAAACAACAAAAGGGCGGACAGCATTGTTTTGATAAAACGCCCGCATGAACTCGCATTTCCAGTTCGGTTCAGCCCCGGCCACGCCCCCGGTTCAGTTCCTCTGATATATGTACTATATAGCCGAGTGCCTGTGTGTGTGCATATATCTGAACAGACAATGCACAGTTATCCTTTGATATGGCAAACAGCAAACTGCCATGAAATGGTGCGTGTTCATTTCCACGACCTCAGAGGAAAGCGCAGAGAATGCGCTACGAAAAATTTGTTTTGCAGGGAAAGCCTTTGTCTGAAGATGGATTGAAAGGTAAAGGGATTGACTATACAGTTGTCATGATATATGAGAAATTTTATTGAATAGTATAGATATTGAAATAGTTATATCGAGCCTAAAATAATATTATTTGGTGGAGATTTAAGGTGCTTCTATTTGCACCTGCAAAAATACAGTTTGTAAAAAATCAAAGAAATTATTTTTACATCTACCTCTATTTATTTATTTTTATTTAAGCCTGAAAAAGTTACTACATTTATTTTAGCAATTTCCCTGATCGTAGGGACCACAGTAAGTGGATTACAGGGCGCACTCGAGCCGGGATAGGATAACAATGTCAGAAAATGGCAAAATGACAACGGCGACAGCCCTGCGGGCCTGACAGCAACAAAAACAAAAAATAGCAACAAAAGCAACGTTAGTCTGTCGATTTGTTTGTGTAAATGCTGTGAAGCGTATATTTTTCATTTTGACGTTTGAAAAAACCACTCCCCCTCCCTTTCGTTCTTGTCGCCGCCGAAATAAAAAACGCATGAGAAACAAACTAAAATTGACAGCTTGTCCGTCGGCAAATAGGAAGTGCAAAAAACCGCATAAATCCAACGAATTACAAAAGGAATACAATGAAAATGGTTTCCATGCGGTTTTATATTACATTAACAATATGATTCGGCTTTGCGGCGAGGGATTAACACGTTTTTGCCCATTTCCCCTCATAGTATATAGTAGCATTCCTTGCCGTGGCCGTGGCCGACCTCTAACCCGCCGGAGGAAGCACTTCAATTAAATTTTTAAATTTTAATTAACTTTTGATTAGTCAAGCCCGCTCTCCAAGTCACGTTTTTCGCCCATTCTTTTCCTCCCTCCGCAGGCCCATCAGCCGGACCCCGCTGACGCAGATCTCCTATCTGCAGAAGATCCCCACGCTGCCGCGCCACTTCTCGCCCAGTGGGCAGCAGCACCCGAATCTGGGTCTGCCCAGCAGCTCCTCCGCCAGCGCCCTGTTTGCGGCGCAAAGTGCCGCCGGCCTGCTGCCCACCTCGCCGCTGCCGCTCCAGCGCCACCAACAGTTCTTGCCCCCGCACCACCAGCAGCTGCCGGGAGTGGGAGTGGGCCTGCCAGGAGGACCGCCCCAGTACTCGCCCGGTGCCCCCAAGTACTCCAATGCCCAGCTCCCGCCTCCGTCGCACCACCAGCTGTCGCCCGCTCTGTCCACGCCCTCGCCACCTTCCCTGCTCCACCATCCCGGCGTGGGAACGTCGTCCGCCTCCGCGCACGCTCCCTTTCTGGCCGGACCACACATGGACATGCAGCGGCAGTCGCACTCGGATGACGACAGCGGCTGCGCCCTGGAGGAGTACACCTGGGTGCCACCTGGACTGCGTCCTGACCAGGTAAGTTTGAACTAGAACTATTGAAATGCCTTAGTCCAAAATCCCGAATACATGGATGTATATAGTCTTCAACGACTTGATATTGGAATGATAATGAGAAATTCATCGCAGCCAGCTCACTAAAATCCGGCTTGAAGGACCCTTTGTCAACAACTTAAATCATTTGATTTCAAGTGCAGCTTGTGCCCCTAAGTTCCACTGCCGAATATCTTACTTAATGCTGCAGTATTTTTGTAGGAACTAATTCTTTATAGGGTGCTCACGGCTTTTTCTAGCATTTATTTAAATATTCAGCACTTTATAATTTGGATAGCTGTGTTTTTTATACAGTTAAAAACGATTAGTTAAAATTAATCGGTCTCATTTCGTGTTCCAGTAACTTAAACATATTTCTCATTAGTAAATACAACCAAACTGAGAGCCTTTTTAGTTTTTGCCATAAAGAACCTTCCGTCGAAGCCCTGAAAATGTCAGACATCCAACACTCAAGCACTCACGTTGCCATCGCCAAGAAGTCCAAGGAGTCCAGATTGCAGATCGCGACTCGAAACGCGAAAGGCGAACCGCGAAGCGCCAAGGGCAGACTCGTGCTGGCAGGCGAGATTTGTGGGCTGGCGATAAGCGGGATACTTGAGTTATTGTGCGTTATTTTGTCACTCGGAGCGAGCTGTAAATAAATACACGCGACGAGGCCATAAATCAGCGACTGGTGGCCAGAGCCGCCTCGTAGAAGATGGAAGATGCAGCGACTGCACTCGACCGGACCGGCTCTATTGGAGCGTGTCAATTAGGCGAAGGTCTGCTAGTCCGAAGTCCCACTGTCCGGCGAATTAGATAGTGCTAATGAAAGAAGGCTCCGCTGGCCGGCCATTCCTCAATTCCCATTTGACTTTAATGGCCAATTCAATTGTGGCTGAGAGGCAGGCGCTACGGCTGGGCTTTTTTCAATTATTTGCCAGGGACGAAAAACGAAACGAAACGAGGCTCGTAAATTATTCGCTTAAAATATGCGACAATGCCAAATAAATCTTTCACAATCTGCCGGGCGGCAGAAGCGCTACCAGCTACCAGCTCCGAAATACGAATTTTGGTATTTTTTTCGGGGCCTCTGCCGTTTTGCGTTCAACTCTTTGACTTCCGTTAAGGCCATTCCGTACCATTGGCGAGCATCCCATCGGGATGGCCTATCAGATGTCTAGCATTGCATTTCTTCGTCTCGTTTCTTTTTTCGCCGGGTGACTTAACAAACAGAATTGAAAATTTATTTACAGCCATGTGGCAGCAATTTACGTTGATGCGGCATAAGCCATGTGTCAGTCAGTCGCCGCTAGAGCTGGCATTTCCCATTTCCATTTCCCAGTTCCATGGCCATGGCCATGGCCATGTTGGCCAAGCAGAACGCTCTGCGGCGTGGCCAATAAAGTTAGCTTGGCACGTTGTGCACCTTTCAACCTGGCTCGGGATCAGAATCAGAATGGGAATCAGCGTAATAAAATCAAAAATCTCTGCCCGCTGTGCCGGCCGGGCTCTTAACCCTTTGTGCCCGCGCCACCGCTCAACTCTTTAACTGTACTTAGGCATTCCGCAGGTACTTACCACTCGAATCTCTGCTCCGCTCTCCCGCAGGTTCGCCTGTATTTCTCGCAAATACCCGACGACAAAGTGCCATACGTCAACAGCCCGGGGGAGCAGTATCGTGTGCGACAATTGCTGCATCAACTTCCGCCGCATGATAACGAGGTGAGTACGAGTAACCATACCCCATCCTTAACCCCATCCCAATCCCAGCCAGCCGCTGACCCAAGTCCCCCCGGGATCGTGGGCCGTCAATTTTGCGGCATTTATCCGAACCTGGAGGAGCCGCTTTATCGTGATGGAAGCCAACTCGAATTACGGGCTATGACATTTCAAAGTCAAATTGTGCGACGATTTTTCCCACACCTTTCTGTGTGTGTTATCTGTCCGTATATACATATGTGGATACCCCCACTGACCAAGCCTTGAAACCTTTAATTAATCGGGGAAACAAGTGCAGCCAGAGACTGAGTTCGGTATTTAGAGCAGACGCTGACCACAAAAAACTATCCAAACAAAAACAGGGAATGCTGAGCGGATTCCCAGATATCAGTTACGTGGGTTGGTGCGACAGTGATGGCAAGGTACAACTTTTGTTGCATGGACAAGGTACAAGGTACAAGACCATGTAAAAGGATAAGATGCGTAACGCCAGCTGCAGACTCTCTAGGAATTTTACCTAGAAGTCAAACAGACAGAGAGTGCGTTCTAAAGCCAGTCTCTCAGCATTCTAGCTCTGCCTGGGCGTTACGCATCTTACTCACTTTACTTTACTTTACCTAGAAGACTAGTGTACTCAGCTAAAGCTACCTAAATAGACACCATCACTGTTTCGGGGACTGGGGTTTGAGATCTCTTTGGTCTGGCTAACGATGACTAGAACAGTCATTGAAGGCCGGGCCGAAATCAGGAAAAAGAAAACCGAAAAATAAGTGGAGGCAGCCGAAAAAATTTGCATACAACACACAAACGAGACGCTAACCGAGGGCTGAGGACCAAAGACCGACAGCCGTAGACCGCAGACCACAGACCGTTCTGGAGGAGATGGGCAGATGCAGATGGAGATGGAGATGCAGATGGAGTGGACAGCAGGAGGCTGGAGGCGAAGCGTTGATGGGCAGCCCCGTCTACCGGCTACTGGCTACCGTTTTGCCTTTTCGGTTAGCTTTGCGTTTCCCTGGTGGTGGGATGTGGGCCTGTCCGCAGTTGAGACAAACCATCTCCGCCTGTTCTCTGTCCCTGTCCCTGGCCTCGCTTCTTAGAAAGATCACTTCAGCGTGCGGTTCGGCCCACGGAGCCCCACTTGAACATATGATTTTCCTGCCGCCTGCCGCACTTTTCAGTTACTCGCTGTCATTGCAGGTTCGTTACTGTCACTCACTGACGGATGAGGAGCGCAAGGAGCTGCGGCTCTTCTCCACGCAGCGCAAGCGCGATGCCCTGGGCCGCGGCAACGTGCGGCAGTTGATGAGCGCCCGACCCTGCGACGGAGTGAGTATAGCCACCTCTAATCCTGCCACCAGTTCCTCCGCTAATCCCACAACACCTGGCACCTTGCAGTGCGACGAACTGATTTCCACGGGCGACATTGCCGTCTTCGCCACGCGACTGGGTCCCAATGCCAGCTGGCATCCGGCATGTTTTGCTTGCTGCGTCTGTCGCGAGCTCCTCGTGGATCTCATCTATTTCCACCGGGATGGACGCATGTACTGCGGACGCCACCACGCGGAGACCCTCAAGCCGCGCTGCTCGGCCTGCGATGAAGTAAGTTTCGAAATAGTCTCTAAATATTTCTTAGAAAAATGTAATAATTATTGTCTTATAGCCGTGTTTCTAATTCGCTTTTACTAAAGTTTTCATTTAAAATACATCAATTCTCTCTCCTCCCCCGCAGATCATCCTTGCCGACGAGTGCACAGAGGCGGAGGGCAGGGCGTGGCACATGAACCACTTCGCCTGCCACGAGTGCGACAAGCAGCTGGGCGGCCAGCGGTACATAATGCGCGAGGGCAAGCCCTACTGCCTGCACTGCTTCGACGCGATGTTCGCCGAGTACTGCGACTACTGCGGCGAGGCCATCGGCGTGGACCAGGGCCAGATGAGCCACGACGGGCAGCATTGGCACGCGACAGACGAGTGCTTTTCGTGCAACACGTGCCGCTGCTCACTGCTGGGCCGTGCCTTTCTGCCACGCCGGGGAGCCATCTACTGCTCTATTGCCTGCAGCAAGGGCGAGCCGCCGACGCCATCGGACAGCTCCGGAACCGGCATGTACACCACGCCAACGCCGCCTACGCAGCGAGTGCGCAGCCATCCGCAGGCGCCCCTACCGGCGCGCATACCCAGCAGCCACGCTTCCAGCTCGCCGCCCATGTCGCCTCAGCAGCAGCAGCAGCATCAGGCAAGCTTCAACCAGGCGATGTATCAGCTGCAGAGCCAGCAGCTGGAGGCGGCCGGAGGCGGCAGTCTGCTGGGCCTGGGCGGCGAGTTGTCTCTTCTGGAGCAGGGCAAGAGCTACGCCACCTCGGACTCGGACGCGGGCGTAGTCAAGGATCTGGAGCTGGAGCACCACGGATCTGGCCACGCGGTCGGCGGCGATCTCACCGACTTCTCAGGCGGCCGTGCTTCCAGCACCTCGCAGAACCTGTCGCCGTTGAACTCGCCGGGCGACTTTCAGCCGCACCTCCTGCCCAAGCCAATGGAGCTGCAGCGGGACGGGGTGTACAACTTCAACGAGATGGCCTCGAACCTGGACGCAGCCTGGCCGGCGAAGCCTAGCCTGGGCGCCCCGAACAGCTACCAGCTGCAGCGGCAGCTGCTGGAGAACCCGCACACCGCCAGCATGCCGGAGCTAGCGGGGAACCTGCCGCACTTGTCGCAGCTACAGTCCTCCGGCCAGCAGTTCCAACAGTTCCCACAGCACGAGTACGCCGATATACTGCACCCGCCTCCGCCGCCGCCGGGAGTAGAGTTGCCTGAGTTGCCCACTCCTAACCTGAGTGTGGCGTCCACGGCCCTGCCGCCGGAGCTAATGGGCTCGCCCACTCACTCGGCGGGCGAGAGGTCCCTAAACACGCCGCTGTCCACTCAGTCGGCCACGCAGGCGCTCACCCATCCAGTTTCTATATTGAGTGGGGCATCCTCCTCCTCGCCCATGAGCGGGGAGCCGGGCAAGAAGAAGGGCGTACGCTTCGAGGGCATCCCAGACACCTTGCCACGTTCGCGAAGCTACTCGGGAAACGGAGCCGGTACAAGTGGGGGCGGTGAGCGGGAACGAGAGAGAGACAGGGATCGGGATCGTGATCGGGACAGGGAGAGTGGCGGGCGTCACGGTCACGGGCACTCCTCCCGAAGGCGAAGGCGTCGCAAGTCCTCCTCCACCACCGGGCATCATCGCAGCGGCAGTGGCCACCGGTCGCACTCCACCACGCGCGCAGATACATATGCGCCTGCGCAGCCACTCTCCGCCTCCTACCAAGGTCCACCCTCCGTCCTGCAGGCCGCTAGCCTGACCCATGAGGGCGAGGCCCACAAGTCGCCCAATCGGCAGCCGAAAGAGCGGGAGCGGGATCGGGAAAGGGAGCGCGAGGAGTCCGAGGAGTCGGACGTGTGCTCCACCTGCTCCTCGAGTTCCTCCAGTTCCGAGGACTACATGATGATGTACCAGCTGCCTCAGAGGCGCCACTATGGCGGCGTGCGCGTGAGCTACGTACCCAACGATGCCCTGGCCTACGATCGGAAGAGGAAGCCCAGCGAGATGGGCGGCGACAAGGACAAGAATTGCATCATCTCGTGATGCAGCCGTAGGGCGCTCTAATCAGAGCCCAGATGCATTCAGAGAAACATAACCAGATCGGTGATCCCGATGCAGATGCAGATGCAGATGCAGGCAAGGAGTTATTAATGAGGCGCCCTGGGCAACTCCATCTCGTGGCTAACGAAGTGGCCCAGAACGCTGGCGGGGATCATCAATTCTTCGCAACGGAGGCAACTACCGGCACACGACAAAGCAAAGTAAAGTTCAACTTGACATTAAGGCGCCTAGTTAGGATACACTCACCAACAAACATATGCAACTCCGGAGGAGGAGAAACCGAAACCCTACAATAAGAGCCAACACTGTTCCAAAAACACATCCCTAGTTAAGCCTAGATTCAGCCTATATATATATTTTTATACTTATGAGTAGCCTAAGAAAAGATATGCCCTATTTATACCCTACATAAATATATTTATTGCAGCAACTAGCGTAGATCTTAAAGTTAAAGTTATTCTTAGGTAAAAAGCGGACAGGCGTAGAGTTCCTTGCAACGCTGACGCTATCGGGCTAATGAAACACTACAATAACTATAGCTTAAGACGATCAACTGTATGACATTCAAGAGAATAAAGAGTTCAAAGAGAGTGGAGACAACCACTACTGGCAATACATAAATGGCCTGAAGGACTTTATATATTTTATTTGTAAGAAAACATTAACTAAAATCGAGAAATAAAAATGAATAAGATGCGTAACATCATACGAGCTCGAACTTTTCGGTTAGGCTTTTTGGAAATTGATCCAGGCTCTTTGAGAGCGAAAGAAAGTACTCTAGAACTACTAAACTGTAAGCGCGTTACGCATCTTACATGCGTAATACATTTATTATTTTTTCGCACGGTTTCAAGATCAGAGCTTAAATCAGTACTAAATTTCCGCTTTACTCGTAGAAAATTACGAGAAAAGTAAATCAAAACTCTGGCTATATTTTTATATTATATTTTATTTACAAATTTTAGAATTATCCCCACATTTCCAGCATTGGTTATTGAGTTTGCTTGGCCCAATGGAATCCTTGATTTGGCGACTCGCCGGATGGCCTCGATGGTTCCACCGCCGTATCTACAGTATAATTATGCATCGGATAATGAATACAAATTACGCGCTTGTCGAGCATTTGCATGCTGGCCTTCCACCAACGGCAGCCACATGGAAATTAAAATCGAAAATAAAGCAGCCAGGCGGAATTCAGCTGCCTGCTGCCTGCTAATAAGTTGATGGCAAATTATGGCAGACCGGCTCTCCGCAACGGAGCCGGGCCGAGCAGTAGGGCCAGGTACCGGGCCGAGATGGCAAGTGGCAGTAGGAGCAATCACATGCATGCAACGCTTGCTGCAGGGCGTAATTAGCAAATAATGCCGGCCACTCCAGAAGGGGACACAGGCGGTGGGTCCCAGTCCCATGTTCCTGCTTACTTTGTTAGAATCAACAACTCGCGCCCAAGCCGTCGGTTCAACAATGTTTGCGCACATTCCACTGGTGACGATGCACAGGGAAAAATGCTTAGCATAATTGGTCATAAAATGATGGTATTTATATGTAATTATAAAAAAGATTGATAAAACTAGAATTTAAAAAAGTCAATTCAATGGAAATTAAGGTGGTTTTCGAGTTGTGTTTATTGCTGTAGCTTAGCTTTTTAGTTATATTAACTTTAAAGGGAAATCAAAGCGAGAAATCGAATAGATACACCAATATATATCACAGGATTTTTTCCTTTCGTTTCTATGATAGCTTTATAGTATAGTCCATCGACTTTGACTGTTGTAACGTCTAAAAAATAAAAACATTTGTTTGAATAGTTTTAAAACTGAATAAGAAACGTAACGAACGCGGTTAAATCATTTTAGCTGAAATTTCAGAAATCCTAGTAACAAGAAAAGGTTTTTTAATGATTTTTTTTAATTTTAGAAAAAGACTTGTACTCCTAAGAAAATTTCTGCAATGTGGTTAGCCTGTTATAATAATAACTAATAAGTAAAGCGAAAAGAGTTCCAAGCAGCAGTCTTGGGAAAGCTTTTAGATGGGCCCTCTGACTCCTTACTATATTATTATTAATTATTATAATATTACTCCTAAATATTTACGTAAGACTTTAATATTTCGTTTATTCTTCAGGATCATCTGTTTAGTTAACATATCTGAGTACAAACAAATTAATGAAATATCCAACAGGATGATTTAAAGGACCAAATTATTACTCCCATTTCTGAGACCATATTCTCTTTCCGCCTGCTTATATCTTATACCCTGGAGACTACAGTCTAAGCTTAATATGAACACATTTTCAAATTAAGGCATTCCGGTGTCCCAAAAGTCTTCGATCCCTATGTTTTGGCATTAAAGTTTTCCACTGTGTGCAGCTGGATTTGAGCAAAATCATTGGCAGCTGTGTAATTTGTGGCCATGCCCCCGACCTTGTCCAGTTTGTCGCCGAGCCCGGCTAATGGCCACTTAATAACGCCCAACCCATCCCCGTAATCCTCACATCCTCCGGTGCCACCTGCATGATGCGGGACCAGCGATGCGACCGAGCGATAAGAGTCCCGAATTGTCTGCGTCTGGCATTGATAAGCCAAATGACTTTGGCGTTAACGCACAGACCTACAGATACAGAAAGTATCTCAGGGTGGGGGTTGACCAGGGAACACCGGCATGCTCTGGGAGGAATCGGGATGCTGGACACCAGCCGAAGGGCAAGGACTCCCTGGGCACGCAACTTTTGCAATTGTAATTTCGCAAAGTTTCTCCAAAGAGATGGGCGGGGTAGCACAAATGCATTTGCCAGATAGATTTTTGTTGTTAGATGCCATTTTTCGTTATAATCCCAGCGACAGGCAACAGACAATGGGCGAGCTTTCACTGGTTTCCCTTACTTTCCCTTCGTTGCCTGCTTTCCCTTTGCTTTTCCCAGCTTTCACTCGATGCGTGCGCCTTTGTGTTTTATTGCATGTCATTTCCGCTGCCGTTTCCTCCGGCCGCTAGCATACTTCTGATGATTGGTCTGCTCCTGTCTGGCGGGCATCCTGCCACATCCACTGGCAGTGCCACTGCCACTGCCTCCGGCGGATGGCGAATGGCGAATGCAGTGCCTGCCATTACGTTTATCCTGCCACACACTCCTGCCCCGGACAGTTGTACACTTGTACATCAGATATGGCAGAATTTATATTCGCATTTCCGGGGCTCATTTTTATCATGACCGAAAAACTGAACGCCACACACTCCGCCAACAAATTGTAATGTGCAGCTGGCGTGCTTATGTTCCGAGCATCCTCTATTGGAAGAACCCTGAACCTGGGTCTGGGTCTGAGGCTGGAGTGTTTTTGGGCAGACAAACAGCCAAGTGTTTTATTGTGGTCGTGACTGCACGGGACAATCTGCTTCTGGCATTTCGCTGCGCATTTCCAGGCGATTGTTTTCCTCATTTCCAACGCGCTCTGTCCTGATTTTACTTCGGAAATGCATTGAACTTTATTTGCTTTGGATGAGTGAGCTTTAAATCAAACAAATTTGGTGGGGAAATGATATCTATTCGGATTCTGACTTTGATATCATACAAATGTATATTTATATTTCTATACAAAAAAAATCTGTGAAGAAGTGTTAGTGGCATGTTAGTGGCATTCGCGCAAATTAAAATGAATACAATATTCAATAAACTGTAATTTAAAGTTTCACAATTAATTTTCCGTAGTTCCAAACTCTACAAATAGAAAACATTATACAAGGAGCCAATAACCAAAAGTACCAAGCACAAATGTGTTTATATCAAATTCAATCAATTTCATTATATTTTACCTTTTTAATTTTAAAATATTTTCTATTTCTGATTATAACTAACATATATTTGAACCTAAATCAAATAAAAATCCCTTAAATCTTTGTTTTTGATTAGTTTAAAGTGCAATTGACAGCGAAATTTATGGTGTCTGATACAAACCAAAAATATTCTCGCCCAATATCCAAAGTCAATTTCACATAACCGAATTCGGTTATGAAAATGTTATTAACTCCTGCAGGACGAAGTGGAAAATGTGTCTGTAATTTATGTGGCTCTGTTGGGCTGATTATTGCAGCAATTTCCCGCAGTCGCCCGCATCCAACCTCCCACTATCGGCGGGAACGGGACTAATGGCGCAGCTTTCAGCAATTGTTTACTGGCCCATTAATTAATACAAATATAAATTGGCAATATGAGTGCGTGCGAGCCACACTCACACCCGGTTCGAACTTCGAACAGCAGCGGCGGCCAAAACAATGAATCAAGCGTAGGCCCGGATCCGTCCGGAGTGCAGAGTCCGCTGGGCTTGGTTGGGCCATCGCATAAATAACCACGAAATGGCCGGACAAAAACAGAAATGAAAACAAAAAAAGACGTGAATACACACACACACACATTTACATACGTCCTCCGCCTAGAACGTTTAATTAATTTTTAGCGTGTTCCGCAGACCCCGAAAAACAGGCAGCAAAAAAAAAACAATTATTAATATTCGCCAGCCCGGACACACGCACCCAACTCTGACCCGACTCACACTCCGCTGGTCACGTCCACACTCCCCGTTCGGAACCATTAAAAGGGATACATCATCATAACTAATAATAATCATGTGCCGGACGCACTGGCTCCCCTCGACTTAAAGAGATAGCGGAAGTCGCCGGCAGAGCGTGGGAGTACCGTAAGTAAGCCCGGCTCGAATTAAATTAAGCATTATTGATGGCGGGACACATGTCCTGGTGCTGCTCCTGCTCTCCGTGCAACTGTTACTCTGGTCTGGTATTTATCGCTTCGTATTCTCAGTAGTTGGGAAGTCCAACAAGTCAGACCGGAACAGTACTGTCATAAAGAGGCGGGCCAGCACAGTGGGATAAACTAGAGGAAAACGGAATGAGACATTAAAGCAGAGCTGCTCAGATAGTGGTTTACGGAGTCCATTTCCTTGGATTATTATGATTAATCAGACAGATATATTGATATATAGAAATACCCATAAATTCTTTCTGTGACGAATTGTAGTGTTGCCACAATATTACTGCTTCAACATTTTATACATCTTTTTTTATCACCATAAAGCTATGCCTTTTTGAATGACTTCTAATTTTACATCTATCAAAAATCCTTATAATATAATTTTACCCTAAATAAAATCAATAGATTTTTGTTTATTAAATCGAGATTAAATCATGATTTTTTGGGATTAATTCTTGACTAATTTAAATCTTGAATAAGAATGAAATTCATGAAAAATAACACAAATTTAAAAAAAAGTCAATTATTGCGCTACTTTCGAAACCCAATTGTTACGATTTTATGACCAAAATTCTTATATTTTTAAAAAGCGTATACATTTTTGTAATTAACCTTTTCCAATGATTAATACAACGAATTGTTTTAGGTAGCTTCTGGCTCCCTGACCCACTGTAGGGTAACTTTCGTGCTCAGAATACCGCTATGACTTTTCCCGTATCATTAGCTGGACCGTCTTGGTCTTTGTCTAATGTGCAAATCTAATTAAAGCTGCACTGAGCAGCAACTTGAACCGGCCATATGTGACTAGAGCTTGTGGCTACAGTCGGTGTAGCCACTGTCCCCACAATAAATACCACAAATAATCATAAAACTAATGCCACAGACGTTCGGAGTTCGCTCCCCAAATACTTACTCGCCCTCAGCTCTGACTGGAGTCTGTTTGCTACTTTGTTGCGTATTTATTATAGTTATATTTTGGTCCTGCTAACTCCCTGGTTTTCATTTGGTCTCGGTCTGACCTCGGCAGTTGTATCTGTTTCGCTTTCGGCTGTGGCTGTGACTCCGGCTGTGGCTTTGGGTTTAGCTTTGGTTTCGCCTGGGTTAGCCTCATATTTCATTATGAATTTATGATCGGCGAGACTGCTAATGTGTTTATTGGCCAAGCTTGAGGTGATTTGAGAAATGTTTACCAGACTACTATTTTTAGTTTAAATTCAACTTGACTGCAGAGACAATAACTCTTAAGGATGAAGGCTTAAAGCTGCTTTATTTTAGCCAGAATTACCATGAATCACAAACACATGCTGGGGATATCGACGGCGAATGTTTCGACAGCTTCGAGGGACAAAAAGAAATGCGCCGAGTGGAACTTTTAATTAAGTCGGGACTTCCGCTTCCGACTCACTGCCTCTGCGGGCTAAGTAGCCTCGACACAACAATCTAAATAATTAAAATATGCAAATGCCGCCTAATCCGGCCGGGCGACACGTACACGCAGACACAACAGTCCGGAACGAAATAGTACGGATGGGATATGGTACGGGTGCCCAGAGTAGGAGCACGGGGACAGTCAGACAACCAGCGATTTGCTTAAATTATTCATGGCAATGCAGTTTGCCCGGGATACCATGGCATAGCAGGTAGTAAATTAAATAAATGACTCCGCCGAATCGTCGGCGTGAAAGTTTGAGCCACACTTTGCAGCAATTAATGCCCTCTACCCTGGGATGTATGCCACGTTTTATTTCAGGGCTTGAATTCCAGCTGATCCGCCCGCCTAAAATATTCAATTATCGAAGTGGTGCATAAGGCCTTGGCAACTTTTATGCCTTTCATCGTTTGCTTAATTGGTAAAGTTTTATGTGCAGGATTTTTATTTTAAAGCCCCGGCGTGTTTTATTCCTGTTTTTACAACTTTTCTTGCGGCGTCCTTCCGCCGCCGCCTCGCAATGTTTGTTTCCGTTTGTTGTTGAAAGAAGGGAAAAACATAATTTTTAATTTCGTGTGGGCCAGCGTTTTTATTGGTTTTTAATTTCGTTGTTGCAGACATGGTCCGCTTGTCCGCTTTTGCTCTTTCAGCAAATGTAAACAGCATCCTTAGAAGTTCCTACCAAAAAAAAAAAGGGAGCACGAAAGAATCGGAGCCCCCGGTGGCCCATTGGGCTGTCATAAAGCGTTGGCGTTGCTTTGTGCGCTGCGTCGTCAACGATATCATCATCGTTTTAATCGAAGGACGAGGTCCTTCCCGCTGCGTGCAAATATGCTTTGTCTATAGCATTCATTTTAATTTTTTTCTCCTGTTCTGCCGCTGCTCTGCTCCGTTGTTGTTACTTTTTCATTACTTTGGCTTAAAATTGATATGAAACTTTTTGCGAAGGAGTCCTTGCCATCAATACGCTTCATGTTTATTCTGCCACACACTGGCACACCAGTCCCAGCCTTTCTGTCTGTCTGTCGGTGTGTCTGGTGTATCTGTATCCTTGCCTGTGTCTGGCTCTGCGGCTGCTCATGCGATTGTGGCCAGTTGTGTTTGGTCGCCGACGTTGCTTTCATGGGTTTTTAATTACGACAAGAATAACAATATCACGTGGCCCGAGTGCTAGCAGGAGCTCTTTAAGTTTTGCTCAAACATTTTTCCCTGTTCTCCCTGCAATCAAAGCGATAAATAAAATCTAAATTTCAAATGGATGTATAAATCAAATTTTATTTGCTTGCTCGCATCAAGTCTCCTGGGGTCGAGGAGCTTAATTCGATTGCCGAACCGTTTATCTCTAAACTTTATTATCGCAGGCGGAATTCAAAATCTGGCATTTGGGGGGATTCCACAGGCAGCCAGACATTCCATCAGATTTGACTCATTGCCGGCATGTCTAAAATATAGCTTAAATATTTGATGTATCATGCATATGCCATGAGCACACTCCGTACTGTAAAGCCCAAGAAAAAACAACCACTTAATGCTATAAAAAAGCGAAGAAAAATGCAAAGTAAACATTGCGCATACGCCACGGTGGCTGGGCCCCTCAGGTGGCAGAGCAACACTTGCTGGCAGCCGTCGGCTTTCAGGTGGCAGGGCAAAGCGCTAAACGCTGTTTGCTGTTTGCCATTCGGATATCGAAAGTTATAAAGCATGAAATCAGTGCCAGAGCCACCGACGTCCTCGTGTCGTGTGCTGGTGATAACGAGGAGGCCGGGAAGGATTTGGTGGCGGGCGTCGAAGCGAGGATGAAACTTGGCGGCATATTTAAATGTGGCTGCAGGGCAGACACAATGGTCGGAGGCCGATGGGGTTGCCAGCAAGGGATGGAGCAGGCAACTCCGTGTTTGCTCTGCCAGACAGTCAGAAATGCCGAAAATGTCTCCGCCGCTGTGGGCTGCCTTTGGAATTTTCCCAAAAACAGGCATTTCGCATTTGCAGTGATAATCAAAGGCCCGATCAAGTTCTAGGCCTAGGGCGGCCACTTGAAGACAAACTTGAAGTTTGGGCCAAGTTAATGCCCCCGCCGACAAATGGAGTTTTCCGTCTGCCTCGTTGTCTGTCCTTCTGGGTCTTAATTTTCCGCTTGTGGTTTTTTATTTTTGTAATTTTCTACTCTGTGGCTGGCTGCGGGGCAAAAGACACTCGGAGATAGTTGCTCGCCTGTGTAATTATCTGCTTATGCTTCCCTCTTTTGCCCCCATTATTGTTGCCTTTGTGGCCATATAAAGTTGTCGCTGTTTTGACGTTTTCCAGAAAAGCTGCTTAGGCAGCTCCAACTCTCGTCCTGGTGCGCCGCTCTAACCTGAGCAAGCGGAAATTGCACAGAAGCGGAAGTAATTGGCAGCGGCATCGGAAGCCCAAGAGAGAGAGAGAGCCCGGGGAAGCTCTCTAATTCGGTCTTGTAATTAGCGAAACTGTAATGACCTCTTTCTGGGACTCCAGAGCAATCGAAATGCGGTCGAAGCTCCTGGGCCACCGAAGTTGGCAATCTGTTTGCGTTGCACTTCAATTACTTGTTTCAATGCCGCAATTACCATTCATTTGGCCAGGCATAATGTGTCCTTGTCAACGCTGGCTTCTCTATTCCCAGTTTCCTGCAGTCCTGCAAGATGCCCGACTGCCGGAGAGCTCGTTGTTTGCACCTTTGCTTTGGCAATTTACACATGGCAATGGCAATAATAAATCAAAAGTGAAAATGCAAATATTTTCCAGGCAGCAGGCACCAGGCGGCAGCCAGACAAACATCCTGCAGGAAGCTAGACAATGTGGTTGTCCAAGAGACTCGCAGGGGGATGAGCAAGAGGGGCTCCCGGAGATTTATTGCAGGTGACTGCCGAATGTAGTGCATCGTTGTGGGGGAGTGCCGCACGGAGGCATCAATAAATAATTGGAAAATGAATGCTTTGCTTATGAGAGATTTCGCAAATGACCCGACAGACAATGGATGGAATATTTGATGGCCCAGGTGAACGAGTTGAAGGAGGGCTTAAGTGGTGGTTAGACCGACAACATCCGATGAATCCCTAGGACACCAACTTCCGACACTTTGGCTAAATCTCCTGCAAACGCAAATTAAATTCCCTGAATCGACCACAAAGTTCAGGGCATCAACTGTCGCCAAATGCCACAATTAAAATGAAAATTAACAGCGAAAGCAAACTGTCAATACAACTGTCACTCCCGACAGCCAGTTGACAGTGGCAAATGAGCACGGAGTACGGAATAACCAGGACTACACATGGACATGGGGAGCAGCCAACGAAGCCACTTGGTGGGCTTCGAAATAAACTCATTACAGCAATTTATGCAAAATGCTCTTGCCGCAATTGGGAATCCATTTAAAATTGAAAATGCCACCGAAAAAAGGGCGCCCCACGCTTCGCCTGTTTGCCATGTTGTGGTTGCCCTGCCCTCATCCTCCCTTCCTTTGTGTTTTGTGTTGTGTTTGCTGAGCTGCCTCCATTGATGCATATGAATTCAATTATAAAACAACGCCGCCTTCGAGGGCGTGTCTGTAGGGGGCGGGAGGCGTTGGCAGGGGAGCAACCGCGACCACGAACTGTTCTCTAATGAAACAGTTTTTTGCCGGTGCCCGGGCACAACTTGTTAATTTTATGCAGCAGACAATGAGGACTCACAGGACACGATACTGTCAGGGTGTCTCTCCTTCATTCCGAGTGGCGCATTTACATTTCCGGCGGCATTTGCATATTGCCTGCATAAAAATCAAAGGACCAGCTGGCAGCAGGAGCCAAAGGAACTATGCACAGGAAGAAATAAATTAGGAATGAAAAGTTCTGCTAAGAAGTTATATAAATGCCTAAAAGTTGGCTATAGAAAATTATAGGTGAGTGTAGGCTAGAAAGGCCTTAAAACAAGTTTTAAATATTCTAAGAAATATTTTCTCCTGTATTTTCTCCCCGTGTAAACAAGAAAAAGTGGAAGCCCAAAGGAAGTTCGGGCTCGTAGGCGTGTTCACCTGCCACCAAATGGCGGCCAGCAGGCAACATAAATAACGGCGCAGGGCACAAAATGCGAAACAAAAGGCGTTCGGCCGGCAAAGTCAACTGGTCCCCACTTGACACCTCATAATAAAATTAAGTATACGCCACTCGAGCCGAACGATAGGAGCAGCCCGGGCCCAGGACCTCCGTCCGTAGCAGCACTGTGTTGTTATTTATGCGCTCGCCAGGACGCCAGGACGACGCGCGGAGAGCACAGCGTGCAGTCGTCCTTCTTTGAAGTTTATTTGCGTATTTCAAGTGCGCCTGCCGCTCATTTCAATTTTCCAAGGGCGCCCATGGTTGTTTTGCTCCTGCTGTAGTTGTCCTGATGATGTTTATGGTGCCGCTGTTGTTCCTGCTGCCGCTGGCAATTGTTTAACTAGTTGGTGTCAGTTATAATGAATTTTAAATTAAGTTGTTATTGCTGTGGGGCGGGCATTAGACGATCCTTCGGCAGCAGAGGCAGTTTATTTGCATAATAAAGGACACGACACGGACTAATGTTAATTAAATTGCAGCAGACAACAACTAGGTTTTAGGCATTTTAATTAAAAGCGCAAGCCGACAGATCGCTCAAATATTTAAATTCGATTCGGTCCAGCCCGAAGATATGCAGGGGATATTGTCAAGAGCTCCGCCCAATTCCACTGAATCAATATCAAGACTAATTGCTCGGAAGGCCAGAGGCCAAATATTTACTTATTCATATCGCTGTGGAACATCTGTCTTGGCCAAAATTGAAAACCATCTCCGCCGCAAATCCGTATCCTTTGATATTCGTAAGTCATACTTTTAGGCGGGCTACGCAAACAGAAAACCCACTCTCTCTCCTCCTCACCGTTTGACTTTATTCCGAGCACTACATTCTGCTTTAATCTACAATCTATTTTGTGTAACAATCTAAGAAGCCAATTCAAAGCATTTCTCTCCTCGTGCAGCAAACTATTTGCATGCCAGCAGCAGCCAGGAGCCAGGACTCCCGTCCGACTCCAGTCCTACTCCGATTAAATCCTTTCAAACGACAACCATATGCAAATGCCAAACAGCCAGGACCACAGGCAACAACAACTTTGTGCATTACTCGGATTGCTGGCCAAGTGAAAAGGAATAGGGGAGGCCTGGGAGGGCTGAAGGGGTGCTGGTTTTTTCGGTCGCTCAGCTCATTTGTTGGTGACCCCACGCAGCATGGTGAAGTAGGAGTAGGACGCGTTCAGCAGACTCTGAAACATGGCCAAAGTCATGGGGTAAACGTTGCCAACTCTTATCTGCCGGATGAAATGGAGCGCACCGCACCCGAAATGGGAATGGATTAGAATCAGGGACCCGCAAATGAAATGCATTCATGTCCACCACCCACCTCCAGGGGCCGCTGCGTCTGCATCAGGAAGATCAGGAGGGTTTTGCGAAAATGAATCCTGGCCTCGTACCAGGGCACATTGTACACTGCCTCCGCCACTCGGTTGTTCTGCAAAAAAAATACATGAGAGTCCTAAGAAAATTACTCATGTTTAAAGCTTTCAGTGATCACCTCGAGGCTCAGGTCGTTGGCTCGATTGTAGTAGGTGAACAGCACATATAGCATGGTGAAGACGTACATCACAACTGAGATGACTTGGGTGGGAGAAGTTATCTAGAAATAATCACAAGACTCCTCAGTAGCATAAGTGCTATAAAAACCCGAATAAAACTCACAATGTTCAGACAGAAAAGCAGCGAGCAGATTATCGAGCCAAAGATAATGGCTTCGGCGGCCACAATGTTGGTAACCAGTTCATTGAGCTCGCTCACGTACCTGAAAGAAAGGAAGCTTAGCTATTTGTCACTAACTGAAGGAGACTTACCCCATCACCCGAATATGGTAGCGAATGCAGGCGGTTAGCATGCGTAGGCGTAGCTCCTCCGACTGCTCCTCGCCTCCGATCTGATCCAATCTATGGACAAGGATTTGGAGCATGGCTTTGCCAAAGATGGCCATGCCGGCAAAGAGGCTAACAAAGGGCATGTACATCATGGACAGGAGCAGGGGCGTGGGCAGCTGGGCCAAGTACACCACTTCGTACACAGGCGTACGGGTCATATTAACTCCAGGAAGGGCTACGCCGAAGGGATGGGCTGATGGACAGTAGATGACATTTTCAAATAGGAGATTCTGTGGAGCTCAGAAGGATTCTTTTTTCTAAGAGATGGCACTAACCTCTTTCCTCCCTGAACAGAGGCGTCAGTAGAGCCCCGATTATGTCGAGGAAAGAGGCACTCAGATTAAAAATGGCCAGGCGCCGTGCCTCGCTTTCTGCCCTCCGCAGGATACCGCGGCCCCGCTCGTCAGTGGACTCCAGAATTGAGTAAAACAGGGTGGACAGTTGGGCAAGGAACTGCTCGAACTGGACGCGCTTGATGATGACCAGCCACGTACGCATCAGGGCGTTAAAAATAGCCGCGAAGAAGAACATGTTGAGGATGAAGGCGGGCAGGTCGCCCCACATGCGCAGCAGGTAGAAGAACTGCATCAGATTCATTGCCATCACGGGCAGGACGAAGGCAAACTTGCGCCAGTTGCTGGCGGGAGTGGGGTACAGTACGGCCAGGTAACGCCACATCCGCACGTTGATGCTCACCAGGCCAATGTCCTCGATTGCCATTTCTGCTTAGTTGTACTTACTCCAATTCCAATTCCGATTCCCCGGCAGATCCACTTCAAACTGTGCCGCAAAGTGCTGAGCAAATGTCTTTTATTTCGCGCCGATTGCCGCCTTCCATCGAGGAAGGCAATCTCTGTGGTGGCAGTTGACAATATAAATGGGATTAGGAAAGGAGAGGGGAATGGCGATGGTGATGGTTCTGGGACTGGAAATGGGAAGTGAGAGTGGGAACTGAAGCCATTTGGCAATCGTCGTTGCGTAGTCTATAATTTAGCTAATTGGCCAATGATGAGTGTAATGTAATTGGATTGCGAGTCCCATTCCCATTCGATCTTAGGCTGAGCAGATGGAAGAGCCCCACGGAGATATTAGCATTAAAACTGTCATTAAAGATATGTATAATTTAGAGTTATTCAATCCGTCAAGGTTACAAGCAGGGATCGTAACAGTTATAATTTTTATAATAAAAATTATGAAATAAGAGTTATTTTACAATTATATAGAAAAAATAGGAAATTAATTCTTATTATTCAAGTTTTATAAAAAAGTTGTAGAATAATTATTATTTTTCAATTTCTATATAAAAATTGAGTTATAACAATTATTTTCAATTTTTAAAATAATAATTGAAAATTAAAATTATTCTCCAATTTTTTATTTTAAAAATTGAAAATAATAATTATTTTCCAATTTTTATTTTAAAAATATTTTCCAATTTTTATTTTAAAAATTGAAAATAATTGTTATAACTCAATTTTTATATAGAAATTGAAAAATAATAATTATTCTACAACTTTTTTATTTTAAAAATTGAAAATAATAATTATTTTCCAATTTTTATTTTAAAAATTGAAAATAAAAATTGAATCGCAATAACTTTCCAACGGAGCGGTATATCTTAAAGATTGGCATATATAATGATTCTACGCTTCAATACCTTTCGTTTGATGTATATATTGTGGTTATTGCATGTACACAAATATGTACATGAACATAAGTGCATATAATAAAAAATTCACCGTTTCACAAACAAACGTGAATACTGAGATAATTACCCAGCTACAGGTAATAATATTTAAATATAAAGGTGACAATTTATTATATATATTTTTGTTATCTGCATTTTGGACTTTCCATTTGTGAAAGGTATTTTAGTATCCTTGTTTGTTTGGGGAATGTAATAAGCAGTACGTATATGCATATTTTTATGCATAAGCAATAACCACAATATATACATCAAACGAAAGGTATTGAAGCGTAGATTAATTACATATATAAATCTTTAAGATATACCGCTCCGTTGGAAAGTTATTGCGATTCAATTTTTATTTTCAATTTTTAAAATAAAAATTGACACGTAACTGTTATTTTCAATTTTTAAAATAAAAAATTGGAGAATAATTTTAATTTTCAATTATTATTTTAAAAATTGCAAATAATTGTTATAACTTAATTTTTATATAGAAATTGAAAAATAATAATTATTCTACAACTTTTTTATTAAAATTTAAAAATAAGAGTTAAAGCGCAATTAAAAAATAAAAATTGGTTATAAAAGTTTATTTTATTTTTGAACGCTCCTTAAAAAATTATGGGATACCTAAATTTTTTATCTTTCCAGCTCAATTTTTTGGTAGTAACTTTTATTTTACTCATAACTCTTATTTGCAATCCCTGGTTACAAGATAATTTCTAGACACTTACCATGATAATTATTATGTCTGGGAGTCCCTTTATCGAAAAATATTAAATACTTAAATTTTAAAATGATTAAAATTTATTTTTCATATTTCGACCCATTATTAAATGGATTTCAAAATTTAAAGGTTTTCATAGACATTCCCGATACATTTGTATCTTATTTAAAAAGAAATTCTTAAATTTGCTCATAATATATTTGAAAACCAGAAGATCTGATCAAATCTGGTCCTTTATTTTAGAAATTGTATTCTAAATTAAGTTGTTCTAACAAAGGCTAAAGTTTAGTTTTAATTAAATATTCTCGTGAAATTTAACTGAAATATTATAAAATATATTTAAAAAAAAACCCCCTATAAAAGTCCTTTTCTTTTGACTTGTAACAATATTTAAATTTTACCTTTCCCGAGTTCCTTTCTTCTATAAAAGGAAACCCAGAGCTGATTACTTTAATATATTCCCATTGAAATCAAGCTCATTCTGTGGCAAAATGTAAATCCCCATTTAATTTGGCCATCGATTCTGCCACACTCCTCCGATCCCACCCCGGAAATCCCCACCCGAAACGCTCTTCCATGGTCCGTCGCACAGGCAGTCAAAAAGCCAACGAGCCGCTAACGTGGCCAGTCAGACACTAGGGAAACGGGAAGGGGCAAGCTGGGGACAGGTTGGACAGTCTGGAGCGATGGCTGGCATGACTTATTAAACAATAAAACCGGATTATCCGCAAACAACTGGGCAAACATGCCGGAGCCAAATATTTTGCCCTGGCCGCTTATCATGCAAACGCGTAGTCCACGAAGACCATGACATCCAGGCAGCAGCAGGAACCGAGTCCAGTTCAGACAAAAAAAAAAAAAAAAAAATCAACAAGCGACCGACTGGCAACATAACATAATTCAGCAACAATGCTGGCTCAGCAAATATGGCGAAGGAATTAAAATGGGCCAGGACAGGCCACCCGGCCAGAAAGGAGTCCAATGCCAATGCCAATGCCAAGCCCATAAAGGCACACATTATGGCCACTTAACCGCGCGTTATGCCGCAAAAAGGCAAAAGGACAAAGCCGAAAGGCAAAGAAGGTTCGGTCCTGGCGGCGTATGCGCAATATTTTGTGCAAACATGCTCGGACTGTTAGAGAAGGAGAGGGTGGCGAGGGGCGTGCAAATATGCAATGTCAGTTACAGCTGCCCCATTTGGTTGCTCATACGCAGCGTTGCACATAAATCAAAAGGGGCAAACCTTTTGTGCATTCCCCCACAAAGCAACAATAACTACACTGGTAAAAAATATGAGGAGAAGTTAGGAAATATTCTACATTGTTTTGGTTCGTGTAAGTTCTTTAATTGTTATAAAGATGTCGTCGGTTTCTCTCAGTGCTCTCACTCTCGGTGATTACCCAGGCAGTAGCAATTTTCGAAGTACAATTTATTATAAATTAAAATGCTAAACAGGGCAAATGAGGACATTTAATTATCACATGCTGGTGAGGATCTTAGTCGAGCCTTGGGTTAGTCTGGATGCGGTCCATTGCACACAAAGGAAGGCAGACACATCAAAGGTATAGGGCCCGGGCGAAGTGCCTGTTAACCCCATAAACCACACGATGACATTAATTACGGACCCGACACAGGACTGGCATTGGCATAGCCGCAGCCACAGGAGGAAAAGCAATCAGAGGGGCGGGAAATGGTTCTACGGCGTATCCCTGGCAGCCGGTATAAAATTAATATCGAGTAATTAACAGGGCAGCAAGTTTTAGGGGCCGTGATTTAAGCCCCTCTCGATACACTCGATTGGGTGGGCGCGTCAATATTGACTTTGCCACATTCTCACTGCCATTTTCTGGGCCTCACTTAGCCAGCTTAAGCAGCTTTTTGCCAATTAGGCAGCTCACTAAGCTATGCCCGGGATTGGCCTTTAAAGTGTGGATGTGGACTTCTTTACAGCATCCCCAAGAGTTACTGTGGCATCAGCTGTTCGGGCACTTGGTCTTGGCCCTGGTTACACAAGCATGCCGCCTAATGCGGCTTAGTTTTTGTTAACGATTCGCAAACAAGTGTGTTTGAGTCCACCCCCACGACCAGCACAAAAGCGGAACCAAGTTATATTATTGACTGACTGACTGCCTTGTGTGGGCGCCCACTGTACCCACAAGATGCACAGATGACTAAGCCGGCCTATGAAAATGAGTATCGTTTGTTTGCGGATAATAAAACATCCGAAAGAATGTTTGCCATCACAAAAGATAACTTTTCGGGGATCTCTGAGGGATTTAGCTAATGATAAAGGCATCGCATGGCGACTCACACATCGGTGGAAGCCCCTGGGAACTCCGGCGATCGAGTGAATAATCCAAGCGCATTAATAAGGCAATCGAGGTCGAACAATAAGCACCGCTGTGTATACATATATAGCTTTCATTTATCCGAGAGACGCAAAAATAATCTGAAGTAGCTCGAAGATACAGTGGATACTGAAAAGTATTTTTGTTATATATATAATTTAATACTTGGTATTAGCAACTAAATCATTAAATTCATCTTTCCTAGAACTTGTTCAGAAATAAATCATGTTGGATGGTCCATATAAATACATAAAATCTGACCTACCTCAGTCGTTTCTCTCGAATCTATATTTAAACGCAGAAAGCAGTGTTCCGGTGATTTCATAGCATGACTTGATAAGATGTGGGCACATGGACTAAATAGTTCTAAATTAATGTGTGTTTTTTTATCTCAGAGCTTTCCCCAAGGTCGGAGCACTCATTATATTCAAACCATTTCCAGATGCATCGAATGGGGAGGCTTTATTTTTTGTTCCCTTTCTCTATTTCAATTATTGAATCATATCGAAGTCACTTTGAGAACAGGAGGAGCTAGGAATATGAAACAAGTATGCCTTTGTGAATCATTACCACATGCTATTTTCTCTAGTAAAATAGCTGTATACATCACCCTTATATAAGTTAAATAATGCACTATGCAAAACCGCGTCTCTTATCTTTGTTTGGTCGCAAAATAAATCACTTTTATTTAGTCAACTTACAGACTAAGTTCATTGCTTGAGTGAAAACCTGGATGAGTGTTATCCTAAGTAAGGAGATTAAGCGAATAATTACGTACTAAAAGTCTACTTTGGTGCTTGATTGTGCGCTCTCTGAGATTTAGGCAGATTCCGCCGGTCTACGGCAGATTGCATCCCACCTGGGTGACGACCTTGGCAGCCACATTGGAAGCCATGCGAATACTTTCGCCCAGCGAACGCTTCTCCAGCCAGGCGTGCAGGAATCCGGCAACAAAGGCATCTCCGGCCCCAGTCGCGTCCACCAGCTCCTCCACCCGCTGTGCCCGATAGTCCTCGAAAGTGATGGGACCCGCAGGAGCCAGCTCCTCCACATAGTTGGTGATCACCTGGACACCAGCACTGCCGTTCGTCACAAAGATGACCTTGGGGCCACTGGCTTGCAGTAGGTGCTTGGCCAGCTCGTCCACATTTCCAAATCCTCCGGCAGCCTTTGCCAAGGCCTCGAATTCCTGTCGGTTGCCAAAGACAAAGAAGGCCAAGCGGGCTAGCTTCAGCATAGTCTGGGCATTCTCGCGCACTATATAGGGCGCACTGAGATTCAGGGCCAGTCGCCGACGCTCCCTTACTAAGTGCTGCACTATATAGTCGCACACCTCGCTCCTCTGGGGCACGAAGAAGCCCTCCACGTACAGGATCTGCTTGCGCTCCACGGGTCGCAGAAAGCTCTGGCCCTCATGGCTGACGGCATGGCTCAGCGTCTGCACCTGGAACTGGGCCGAGGCACCGATGTTGGCATAGAGCGTGGGGTTATCCTTGTACATCAGGCAGACGCACTGACCGGTGTGCGCCTCCTCCACGGTCTGCAGTCGCGCCTCGATGCCCCGCTCCCGGAAGATCTGTCGCAGCTCCTCGGCGCGCTTGTCAGAGCCCACGGCGCCAAAGAAAAGGGCATCCGTGCCCAGCTGCTTGAGGATGCGGGCTGTGTTGAGGGCCGAGCCACCAGGATTCGTGAGACATTGAGAGCTGGAAGGGATTAAAATTGTATTATCAAAAATATAATGACGTAACATTTTCTAATTTAAATCCAAGTAAACATAGAATTTAACTGCGCACTTCTGGAGTAGGTAACAATAACGACTTATTAGAAACTCACCTCTCAGAAGCCTCTGTGGCCAACTGGTTGAGTTTTTCCATATCCAGCTCGCCCTTGGATCCCAGCTCGAGGCCATAACGCTCGAGGAGCTCCGGATCCTCCAGCTTGACTAGCCGGTCCAGAAGAACATTGCCAAAACAGATTACTTTGCGAGGTCTGAAAAGATGGGGAAACCCGGAAATAATATGAAAAAGCTCAGGCTAGAATGAAGAACTTTCCCCAGTTCGAACTGGGAACTCACGTGTGGAAAGCCCCTTGCGTGTCATCATCGCCGGCCTGTCCCCCGAAAATTTTCTCATAGACGTAGCTCAGGTACTCCATTGTATGCAAAAATTAACGCTCAGCCGGGACTTTTCGCGTTCTATTTGCGATGTGGAAGTCGCTATGTGCGATATAAGGCAAAAACTGCGACTGATCCGATCCGAACAGATGCGATGCTTCCGTCGAACGGCTGAGAACTGAACGCTCGGTCCGGTTTGGTACGCTGCTTATATCTCGCTCACGTCGTCGTGTTTTTCCCAAGACTACCCATTTCGGGCAATTAGTTCGTCCAACTTCATTTGGCTTTTGTGCGGCGGCGGCTGCGGCTTACAAAGACTGTTTTTTCATCGCTTTTGTGCCACTTCGCATCGTTCTTTATTTTGTTTCTTTTTTTTTGGCTGACTTCTTTGACTTTGATGGGGACTTTCAAGAGCACCGAGGAGAGCTTTTGGTCTTTCGTCGTGGTGGTTCTTCCTGCCGTTGAGTTGTGTAACGGAGATAATGGAACCAATCCAACGTTCACATCAAAATGTCATCCACTTATTTGTATTGACTTTGTCGTCTAACTTGTGTCAAGTAATTGTTGGGTGGAATTACAAAAATTATCTGTTCTAGTTTAATATTGTCAAGCTTGCCAACACTAAATTGCTAACGGGAACAGCTGCTTGTGTTTTTGTTTACAGCCGAAAAAGCTCCACCGGCTTATTTGTTGGAGAACAAGTTTGCAGCGAGGCTTTCAGAGCGGGAGAGCAAGCGAAAGCTTCGATGTCAGGGTTGTCATAACTCGCCACAGAACTGTAATGACAGTTGGGAATTTTAAATGGGCTTGCAAGGGGAACAACCGAGAAATCCAAATGAATTTAAAACAAACAAAAGATAAATTAAATAAAATAAATACTTAATCCATGAACATTATAATGCTTATAAGCGGTATTTACATATTAATTACATTAAAAATAAATAAAAAATATAAAATACTTGGCTACTTTTTAATAGTTTTAATGGTCCTTAAGGTATTTCAGAAATTTACGAAATTAAAACCAGTGTACCCCCAGGTTGCTCTCTGGCATACCGATACTTTATTAATTACTTAACTAATTTAATTTAATTAAATGAACATCTTCTATTTATTCAAACAATTATTTAAACTTAAGCACATTTAATATAAAGCAACTCAAAATTACTTTTTAAATATAAACATTGTGTCTTTAAATATACAACCTCGAACAATATACCTAACATATTTATTTTTTCTCTTTCCTCAATTTCTTATTTCCACACATGTTTGGGACTCCCTTTTATTTCACAAGATTCTCAAAAACCGGTTTCATATTTAAGCGCTTATTCTGCACTGCAATTATGTGTACCTATTACCAAATAAGGCAGCCGAAACATTTCGCCAGGCGACGAAAGTCAATGGCAAACATTTCACAAACTCATTGAGGCAAGATAATGCTTAATGTGCTGGGGAGGTACTTCCCAGCTCAAATCCCACGGTGGAAGTGGAGTGGGGAAAAAATACCAGAGATCGAAAAATCACAGCCTTGCTAAACTGGGGCTTTCTGGCGGAGAATCATTGTGGATATCAGGGTTTTTCCCAGAGTCAGCAGCAACAAAGGGGAAATCCCCCAGCATAGCTGCATCGCATGGCTGCCACCAAAAAAGCCGGTTCGGCTGATGCTTGATGCACGTGATATATGTTTGAACAAATAGTACTGAAAAATGTAGATTTTAAATTTTTTAAGTACAATTAACCTCTCATTTATTAAGATCTTAAGATGAACATTAAATATATATAATTTTTAATTTTTTTTAAATATAGAAAAAATAGAGTCCTCTTAAAATAATATCCTTTTACTAAGTAAACATTAAATATATATAATTTTTATCTATAGAAAAAATAGAGTCCTCTTAAAATAATATCCTTTTACTAAGTAATTTTACTAAGTAAAAGTATAGTTACTTTAATTCTATATAATCTGTAAAAGCATTAAATGGCTTTCTTCTGTAAAACACCACATATTTCCCATTTGCCTGTTTCGTGGTTTTATTTTTGACCACGGCTGTATGAATATATATTTATGTACATATGCATTTACAAATGTATGCTCTTGCCGGCAACTGGCGACAGTTGGTGACCAAGTGCAGGTAGGACAGGTGTGGACTTTGGACCGGCTTTGAATGCCGAGTGCGTCTCAATGCAAACGCTTTTTCGGGGAAACTCTTGAAACCAGTTCGCACTCTCTTTGGGCTTTGACTCACTTCGGCTCTTGACTCTTGGATCGGGCCATTTTAGTGCTAAGCTATCGTGACTCAGCAGATGGGCATCCGCTTTTATCCATATTCACGCACTGATCACCAATATCCCACTTGCATTTCCACTTGCACCAGACCATGTGCCGAGGGCATGTTGCACATATAACAGGGTGGCATGGTAAGGGGATAGTGCAGCCAGCCTGTACATCGAAAAAGGCTAAAAATATCAGAAATTTTTTATAATATGTATGCGATTGTGACGTCTGGATTGACCTAAACGAAATATGCATATTCTCACGTTTGATATAATTGCAGGAAATCGGGGCATTACACTCTATAAACTCTTGAGAAGCCGTCGTACAGGGATTTCAGTTTATTGTGAAATGAATATTCCTGATCATATTTTATTGTCTTACTTATGTATGTTCTTGTAAATGATTTACAATATATCAAAACTCACTATCAACAACAACTATCAACCTGACCTTTCCGAAGAATGTGCTATGCCCAATCTGGCTTGAAAACCCCCATTTGGGATGTTCTCCCCCTGGGGGAATGCTTAGAGCAGGTTCATTGGCCACTTTCGAGGCGAATTTGGCGCGCAAATTGTGGTCTGAGTCGACAGTTTCCACTTCTGCTGCACTCCTGCCCCTCGCCCTCACCCTCTGATCCAATTGTTTACGACAATTGTTTATGTTTTCGGGGCCCGTATAGGTCAGTAATTGGAGGGGAGCTGGATGGGTAGTAAAATTTATTTAAATCTGTTTACATATGTCAAATGGGATTTTTCATACTCAACAGTTTTGGCTCTGAGGGAAGTTCATTGATTTCATATTTTTGCTGTTTTTCAACTTATTATTATTATTTTTTATTTTACCAATTTGAATTTCAACACTTGTTGTTCTCCCCTTTCAGGAAGTTCGTTAAACCTTTGCAGAATATTTGCAATGTTGTGTGAAATTCAATTTCAGTGGGAACAAATGGGGCGAATTTTGGGTTTTGCAAGTACAGCTGCTACATTTGTGAGTTGCACCACTTAATTTAGGTTTTTAATTATGAAAACATCTGGATCTGGAGCCGAGTTAATTGTATTTTAGATTTTTAATTCTATATACTCTTCTAACAATTTTTTCTTTGCCCATTTATTAGATCATAAGGACTTTTACGCCGTTTTCCAAACTATATTAATTTTATTATTGTATACCAAACTTAATTTGTTAAATAAAACTTAAGGTTCTACTAAAACATGGAGCTACCCTCCCCGAAATGTTATTGTTTTCATTCCTCCTGCTTGTTCAGCAGTTTGTTCAACCCACAAAGCGTAAACTACGAGTATCACTCATATCGTTTCGAGTACGTGTCTTTGGGCAGGTGCTATTTATAACTCAGGTGGTCCGACACAATGCAGAGAACCCAAATTCGCCAAATTATGCTTGGCGCATCAAAATAAAATCGATATCGAAAGTAATTAATCACTGTAAATGCATTATGATGTGGGGAAATTCAAGGGAAACCTCGCCAAATGGCGTAGTTGGCTCAGCGAGGTTCAATTGATAAAATTCGGCAAGAAATCGCAGCTCCCGATATCGACACGATCACACGTGCTGGCGTAAACGGCGGGGAATAAAAATAATAATAATGGAGCAACGCGATAAATTGATTAGCAGCAGCCGCCGTTGTGTTCGGGGGCACTGGGAGTTCGATTCTGTTTGTCCAAGAGTCTGGGTAAAATCCCAAGAAAAAAAAATAAATCGGAAGAGGCACAGTACAGAAATAAAATTACGGTGAATCCATTTCGATTTCGTTAAGTAAGGTCGTTCGTTAATCATACGCCCCTCAGTCCGGCCATCAAGTATACGCCGCGTTGGTCAGACAACTGTGAATTACTCGCCTAGTCAGGACCTGTTGATCACCTGCTGGCAGCATGCCAATCTTAACCCCTTATGGGAAATAGAATATTAAATCAAAATCGATTTGCTTTAAAGATTATTTTAAGTTTAGCTGATAAGCCGGGATATTATTTGTTTAGGGTCAAAAAATCAATATTCACTTTCGATTAAATAATAATTTTTCCTTTAAAAAGGAAATCCGCAGAGATGGCTATTTGTATCACCTTGGATTTAAGAGGGTTAATTGGTCCATTCACTAGATTCCCACGAAAAGCTCTTAGCGGAAAATTAAGGAAAACCGTTCAAGTAAAATTTATTGTCAGATGCGTAACATTTTGTGCGAAATGCGATGATTAAATTTTGGCTCGCCTCGGACAAAACGTGTTTGCACATGTTTTTTCCAGCGAAAGATAATAATAATTTGACTCTTAACTTAAGGGAGGAACTTTCACACTTTTTTTCAATTTAACACAGATATAATATATGTTGTATTTAACACTAACGAGTCTGTGTGTGTGTGCGTGGGAGAGTCAGTGGAGTTGCACGACCTCGATTAAAAGGCGCCGAAAATCCAATGAACTGCAGTTGCAACCCATGGAAAGAAACCCCAAGACCCGCTAATTGCCTCCAAATGAACGGAAATCTTTTTGGGCAAAAACATATTCAAAAGAGTGGCAAAAAAAAACCCAATTCGCTGAGCACAGCGCAAAAGAGCGCCGTCGAAGAGCAGGCCCCCACGGAAAAAGCTCTCTGGGGAGCCGCGCTCCCGCGTTTCTGATGAAATTCAGTGGAATTCCGAGGCGGCGGAGAGCGCGGCTATAAAAGCGCTCGCTCGCCAGCTGGCGGCATTCATTGTGAAATTGCCACTCAAAATTGAAAGATCGCGGACGGAACTAAAGCGGAACGCCAAGCGCGGAAAGAATTTCATAATCAAAAGTTAATCGCAAGCCAAACGCAAGCCACGCAAATCAGTGCCAGCCACAAAAAAAGTGCGAAAAAGCCACATACAAGCAAGAACAATAAACACAGTAACAGTGTCAAGCCAAGTCGAAGCTAACAGCTCGAAAATTAATCAAAAACCAAACCACACAAATCCCCTGGAATACAACAACAAAATGGTCGTCGAGGATACCTGCACCATGCACCAACTGGACCGCGAGCTCGAACTGGAGCTGGACATCGATCTGGCCATGGAGTGCGCCCCCATCGGACGCACCGTGAAGGCCGCCCTGCGCCGGGCTCATAGCGAGTCCCGCGTAATCGTGGGCCTGTCCGCCGCTATCAACGTGCTCTCCAAGTCGCCGGAGGGCTCGCTCTTCTGCCTGATGGCCGTGCCCAAGGACGGAGACTCTGCCACCCACATGCACGAGGTGCTGCTGGAGGCCTTCTGCTACGAGAACGACATCTATGTCATCAAGGTGGACGACGCCACCAAGCTGAGCCGCATTCTCGGTCAGGAGACCATCGAGTCGTGCTGCCTGGTCCAAAAGGTCTGGGACTCCGCCGACTGTGCCGACGAGGAGCAGCTGACCAAAG